AAAGGCTAAAAATTGTAGATAAAAAAAACACATCCTTATTTTCTTCAACTAACCATATTTATATATTTTAGACAAAAATTATTTTCAGGATAAAAACCCTAATTATATTTATGAGCCAAACCCAGGTTACATCTTTTATGGGGCGGGGTTCAGATACTATTATGATTTTATTTTTAGTATAGTTCTAAATATAGTATTATAGCGGAGAACTGCTATTATTAGCATATTTTTTACAATAGTACATTTATAAAACAGTTATACCCCATTCATTTTAACTAATATAAGTATTAATAGTTCACTTTTACATCTAACGATTTAAAAGTATAAAAGAATTAAAATAAATGTAATAATATCTTAATTTTTTCAATTTTGTCATTTAATAAATAATCATATTAACTATTCATATTCAATTTCATATTCTTTTTATCTTTTATTTAAACCAAATCTTAATAGATACATTAAAACAACTTATTGTGTAAAAATTATGTTGCGAGTTGGCTTTTTATTTATTTTTAAATGTTTAGATATACTTAATAGTTATGGCTCTGCAGTTCATTTTGATATTCCGAAGAGTTGGAATGTTATGCCTGTTATAATGTCAAAAAATTAATATTTAGTTTTAAGATTTTATTTAATAATAATAAAAAATCATTTTTTCTAAAATAAAAAACATGTGCTTTATACAAAAAACGAGTTTTAGAGATGTAATTAATATTATTTTTAATTATAGAAGATATAGTGGTGAATTTAGTAGTGAGGTAATGTTTTAGCATATATTAATATGTTGTATCTCTACTTGTTTTTGCTTTTGCTGGCTATATTTTATTATTTCCAAGTAAAACTGATTATCTAGCTGTTAGTTGGCAACAGATAATGTTTGGTTTATTTTTTTTTATTTGTAGAGTTTTATAATTTATTTTAAAAACTGTTATTTATTTTTCCCATTGCTTTTATACTTTTTTTTTCTTGCTTGTATTTTATAAAGGTATATTAATTTATTGACCTCTATGGATTTTTTAGATTTACATGATAAAAATAAAGGCTTA